CTTCTTCCTGCATATTTGTTGAGTGATAGGTTCTTGGTTCGTTCCCAGAGTTCCTTGTTGCTTATTCTCACCATTCTGGCCATCTGATCTTCAGTAGCGAGCCAGCGTAAGCAGTTGTTGATGAATGTCTGTAGTTTATTGGAAATCCCTTTCGTGACGCGCCAAGTCTCTGAACCATATAACAGCACTGACTTGACGTGTTGAAAATCCAGATCTTGTTCCATATGCTGAGTGCAGAAGATCTCCACACTGGTTTCAGGTTAATGAAGGAAGGCCTGTCTTGCTTTTCCGATTCTGATTTCGACATCCTCGTCTATGCCACCTGTAGTTGAAACAGTGCTTCCTAGATAGGTGAGGGAGGTTACTTCCTTTAAGTTTCTCCTGTTCATTGTGATTGGAGTTTGTTGTTGTTGTTGTTGGAGTTTTGGGTGCGGTATCTTCATCACTTCTGTCTTCTCTATATTCACCTGAAGTCCCGTCTTCGCTGCCTCTTCTAACAACTTGTTAGGCATGAAACATACTCATAAATTATTCCAATAGTACACTTCCACAATTCAATATCATAATACAAGCTAAATCGGTTGTTTTAAAGGTTAATCGCTATTTTATTTCGATGTGAACAATAAATTTTTATCTTATTTTCTTTAGCCTATAAGTTGGTAGATATATCTTTGTTGTGTTACCGTTAAATATGACTGTTTGAATCGATCTACTATTTTCACTTGACAGGGTAATGACAGTATCTTTTTGACTGTTGGTTAACACGTACAAACAAAATCACTTAAAGATTATACGTAACAATCATCAATTCATAAAATTAGGAGAGAGGGTAAGGATGAAAGGAAATTAACAAACAAGAAAGGGTTTAACAAGCAGTGTCTGTAAGATGTACAAATGCCTTTCGAATTGATGGGTACACTGTAAAGCAGTAATCTGTTTCAATTACTTTTTAAAAAAAAGGGGGTGATATAATTCTTGAAGGTAAACGGAGTATAACAAAGTGACGTCGTGAAATTGTATCGATTAAAATAATCATGTTAATGATAGATAGTGTCTAGAGAGAGGATTCAGGACACACGTTCCGTCCTGTTTAGGATTCATCAGCTGGATGTAGCCGTCTCCTAGTGAGTGATGTTGTTCCTTACCAGGATTCGAATTAGGAAGCGGTCGCTTCAAACGCCAGAATGTTATCTACTAGGTCATCAAGTTACCACAGCCAGTTCTTATGCTACAGGTATACAAGCAAATACAAGTTTTTTATATATATATATATATATATATATATATATATATATATATATATTCACTGCTAACAAATGAAGTTGTATTACATTGGGTTTGAGCATTGTTCACGTTTGCTTCATACTTCACTCACTAGTATTAATACTGCGTGATGATTGAAGGTGGAATGAAAATTGGAGCCACGGAAGAATTCGAACTAGCGATCACCGAGTTTCTTGGTCGCTGTATTCTACCAACTGAGCTACGAAATCCGACTGCTAATCAAGTTTTTATTTTATTTCAGTCACCAAGACTTGTTTTTTTTTTCAACTGTCATGTGAATTCATGACGTGTTACTATCACATGATCATACTTACACTGTCTGCTCAGCCCAGTTAGGACTTCTCGTTTCAATCCAAATCGAGTTGAATTAGAAATGGGGGGAGAGGCATTATATTGATTATCATTTTGACTATCTGAGATAGCAGCCGTGGTTGATGATTGAATAGTACAAGTAATCAGATCGAGATCTCTCAGAAACAAAGTTTAATCATCAACTACAATGACCTGGCATACATCATTCACGTTTATCTCTAACTAAACCCTGAATAAATTTTTTTGAAAGAGCTAATCTTTTCCTTATACACCATTTTCTCACGTTCACTACGTATATACATATATCACACATTTAGTGCGCACACATATGTTGTAGTGTTGCAAAAAGTGATAAACTGAACCGATGCATTTCAAGTAACATTCCAGTGTTCCATCATCATCATCATCATCATCATGTCACTGATGCGTTCCAAAATAAAAAAAGTTTCGAAATACTAAGAAAATACCAAACGAAACAAATTAATACCACCAAAGTTGTAAGCAGAAGTTAACTTTATTATTACTATTATTATTATTGTTAGTAGTAGTAGTAGTAGTAGTAGTAGTAGTAGTAGTAGTAGTAGTAGTATTAGGTTGAAGTTAGACAGTGAGTAAATTACGTTAGCTAAAACTATCTACAATTTAATTCTACACCAACTAACTACTACTTACTTATCAGGCTCACTGAAAAGGTGTAGATAATTAAGTGTACACCATTGTAAAACTTGTTAAATAGTATACACAATCTAGTAGACATAAATTGGATGAAATCTATTTCACAATACCATCACACACAACAATGTGTGTGTGATGAGTATATCCAGATTGTACACTCAATATGATAAATTCACATAGAGAAGTGAGTTACTAGGATAATGATGATGAAGACATAGAATGGTTGTAAACAAAGTGCTTCAACAATCAAGTCCCAATTACATTCAATAGGTTTAAAAAATGTTTTTACTAATATATTACAATGTGAAAATATCAGTCTCACATCCTTCAATCAGTTGTGTAAACACACTACAACTGACTAGCAGAAAAGCGTCAAAAAGGATAAGTGGATGTCATCAGCTTCTTCAGATCGAATAAATGAAGGAATGAATGTGAACGCATCCCTGAAGGCTCTGAAAGTAATCACGAGTGACAGAAACTCAAATGTACACTGACGAGAAGTCTACACAATGACCGCAAATAGTGGTGAGTGGAAAAGGCAGTAATGATAGGTAACAGTAGATAACTGTTTTGAACCTATCAAGGAAACTGGGGCAAAGAAGTCAAATATCAGTGGGACTATAGTAAAGAATGAATGGTCTATGATTCAAATACAGGATAGACGACTGGAACGATGGACGAAACACTTCACCTAATCTCCAGCTATCATTCGTCGCCGACCATCCAATCGGATCATAGGCGGAATATTAAAACAGTGTATCCAACTCCTGTCTGAGCTGAGAAGGCTTTAACTAAATTAAAATAAGGAAAAGCAGCATATCCACATGGGCTAATACCAGAGGGATCTAAGGAAGGTGACTCACGAATCTCGACTACATTAACTAAGTGTTAACTAGCGTATGAGAATCAGATATGAACCATTCAGACTGGTCTTAATCATCGGTCGTCTCAGTCTTCAGAAGATATACACATATTACTGTAATATGCACACAGGTACTAGTCTGATGGACAGTGTCTAAAAACTCCAGGTCCCATAATTATTGAACGTGTAATCTTAGCACGGGAAAATGACACCCTGAGAAAAGCAGGCACAGCTTTAGACCTGGTCGTGGATATGTTGAACAGATGTTCACTCTCCACCACACCCTGGAACACAAACAACACTTACAAACGCCTGATACTAGCAGCGTTTCTCGACATAAAGATGTCATTCCACTTCTCCGAAAGAGAATTATGGCAGCGTCTCTCACTGAAAGGATTGCAGAGTAAATAATTCACCATGTTGGAGGTTTTGTACTCGAACAACCGTGGGTATTTAGAGCCTATGGTGAGTTGTGTATATCGAGTGATATCCATCAACAATGTCCACTTTCTCCATTATTATTCAACTTTGTTGTATACGTAATAATAGAGATCTCCCTCTCACCTGACTTTACGGGGATTTATCTTGTCAAATCAGACGGCATGGTGGTTCTAGAATACGCGGATGACATAGTCCTGTCAGGCGAAGACGCTGAAAAGATAGTCGTTACAATAACCCATGTGGTAATTTGACAGTGTTCGAGATACACTCCTCACTCTACTCAAAAGTGAATTATCGATCCAGAACTGGTCTGCATTTACGACTCGTCTAACAATCAGGAGTGAAGTGGTTGAATGCATTGACAACGTTACCTACTTTGGAATTTGGAACAATCCTTGTTTGCCCAGTAACCAACGAAACCTCTGCACGATACAAACGCCCTGTTTCACGTTCGCCAACTTACACCATCTATGGCGCCGTATTGTTATCTAAATGTCCATTAGGGTCAACTGTACTGCACAACTATTAGCCCTGTTGGCGGTAAAATATGGTAAATGAAGATAGATATGAGGAAGCTTCAGATCTTCAACCACCGGTGTAACATCCACCCCGTATCATGGTGTCACTAACCTTGTAACGCTGAAGTTAAGCGCAGAGCTTGTGACAGAAGAGGAAAATCAGCTGTTGAGGTTTTTAACTTTCATCAATTTCAATAACTGAGACACATGATCATTATTTATTAACTTAACCCAAGGGAATAATAATAATGTTTCATGCGTTTGTTTGACATGAAGCAGGATTTTTCTATTTCTGTATCACTTAATTCTCTCAGATGTGGTTGTAGATGTCGATAATATTAGGTACCAGGATAAGTTGGTGTAATGAATGACAAACTCCAGTAATCAAATATTTTATTATCATTTGTCCCTCGGGTTCCTAGTGGAACATACAGACGGCTTCAGTAGCACGTCACCATTTCACTCTCTTCTCTACAGTCTTCTCAACCTGGAGCCAGAGCCACGACTGCTCACAACCTTTCATTTCTTCCTCACACCATCTCCTCCATGTCACCCTCACCTCGGACACCCAACTCATTGTTTCCCATGCTGGTCCCACTCGATGGCATGGTCTGACCTGATGCGTGATGTCCCCAGTCGGTCTTCTCAGTGTACGTCCAGTTCAATCCATCTCCACTTTCGTCTACTGCATATTTGTTGGTTGGTTCGTTGCCAGTCAGAGTGAGTTTCTTGTTGCTGATTCTTATTATTCTGGTCATCTATCCTTCGCCATGTTTCAGTGGTTTCCTCTGTGTTAATTTCTTCCCAGATAGTGGCTTGGTTATTTGATATAATGTTGTCAGGTCTCTCCATCCGGCAGCCCATTCTGCTTCCCTTGCCAATGTGTCGTAGAAGTGCCTTTTGTCTTTCCGTGTACTCCTCTTCACTTCTTTGTCCACTGTAGTGTTTTATATGTTGTGTTCAGTTCCACTTTTCGTTGTTCATCCTTGCACTGCACTGGTTCAGCTGTTGCTTCACCATCTTCCTCTCCCTTCTCTATCAGCTTCTATGTGTCCACCGTGATCCATTCCTTGTCATGCCTTCTTTATTCTTCCTTCCTAATACAGTTGTGCAGGTTTCTTTCCACATAGCTTTCAAAGAGTTCCAGTGTTCATCCACACAGGTTTCTTCAGGGATGTTGCTCAATGTCTCCTATTTTGTTCTGATGACTGACTGATGTGTATATGTCCCTTGTAGTTTCGTCCCTCAGTTTCTGTTCTGGGTGTCCAACTTGAACTGTGGTCCATCACCAACTTCTGTGAAGGCTTTCAACTTGATTTTGAAGATAGATTGCTTGCACTGGATAGTGGTGTGAGTGGTGTGAACCTACATCTGTTCCCCTCCCTTGATCTGATCTTGTGTCCAGTAGGCTGACTGCGTCTCCACTCTCTTCACATTGAGATGAAGTCGATCTGATTTTCAGTGTAATGTGTCCATCTGGTGAAATCGAATCCATGTCGCTGCCTTGTGAATATTCCTTGTGTTTGTACACACTGCCTCCAATCACTAAATGGTTGAATGTGCAGAAATCTGCAAACAGTTCTACATTCTCAGTCATCATTTCATCGAGTGCTTCTCGACCCGTGATTGGTTCTCTTCGTGTGTTGTCCGCTCCCAGTTTGGCATTCATGTCACCCCAACCATTAGAATTTTGATGTCGCCAACTGGAGTCTTGTCCTGTAATAACTGCAGTTGCCCGTAGTATTCCACCTTCTTTTCTTGACCAACATTATTTGTAGGTGCATAGCGTAGCATTGTATGGTTGTGACTTTCCTTCCTTTTCAGTTGAATCTTGCTGTCATGATCCTGATCGTTGAGGAGATTGGTTCCCACTGCATGAGAGCCTTCGATGCTCTTGAGGACATCATGATAACCACTTCAAAACTCAGTGTGCTTGTGTTTGTCGTCTGGGTGACAATATCGGAGTAGATTATTGACTCTCCGGTTAATAATTTGGAGAGTCCACTTCCATTCCATCGGTTTTCACAGATTCCTAGCCTGGCACTTCTATGCCATACTTTCTCATCTCTTCTGCAATTTGGGCAGCCTTGCTAGGTTCAAACGTTGTTCGCTTTCATCGAGAGAAGCTAAGACACATCGGCCAGTTGGCTCCCCTAAGGCAGGCTTTCATCAACTGGCGTCATTTCGTCTCTCCGATCCCAGTGAGGAATAAGTTTGTTTTTATTTTTTATAATTTCTTTGTCCTTTGAAGTTTGTTTAGCGGTTGGATCGGTTGTCTGGTGTAGGGTTGCTATCCGTATGCCTAACCTTCCCTCCCTACTTAGGCTTAGGACTGGCTACTAAGTAGTGAACTAGTTTATTAAGTGAGACAAGGCGAGACAAGTGATACTCATACCTAGTCACCGTCTGCCTTATTGTACAATGTTGGCTGAAGGTGATAATACTGAAGCATGACATCTGTCAATGAAGTCTCTGACTGTTGGTCTTAGTCGAGTAGGGAAATGTGCATCTCGCGGTTGGCGTTCGTGCGGTAATCGAAACCGGGAGTTGAAAATCTTAGGCAATATGGTTCAGAATCGATCCATGCATACATTATCTTTAACTGAATCATCATACCCGATTTCATCACTGTCTTAAGCCTCTTTTTCGCTTTATGTCACAAATATCTATCTGTCACCTTTGTACATTCTTGCTTATTGTGTTGATATGATGTTAGAGAAATTGGAACGTTGCATAGTAATGCCAGGTACACTATATTGGTGTCAACTGAACAATCAGCAGGGAAGAGAAGAGAAACAGGTAAAACAAAAACACAATCATCAAACAATCTTCCTCATCGTCGGTCCCATTTGTAGTTTTATCGAAGAGTTGACTAAACACCACCTTCATTAACTTTCGACTAAGTGATACAAGTCTGTCTACTAGATCCTATCTTATATCTTATCATAAAATAATAACCAACACATTGTCTAATCAGAAGAAGCGATGATGATACTCAAAATAGATTCAATAGAATGATAAATGCTCAAAAATTGAAGAAGAAACTCAATACTCTTCTTCTGACGACTCAGTATCACATACATAGTTGCTTGGTAGGATGTACATTATACTGGAAAGATAATAGGTGACTGAATCAGTGGTTCATTGGTTTAGAGAGATGACTTTCAACCAATAGGTCACGAGTTCGAACCCTCAATCAACCTACCGAGGTTTGGGCAGCCAGTTAGGATTACTAACCCTCACATAATAGGTGCGTCTCATTTCCTAATGCATGGATATGCATAAAGTGTCTGAATGTGTTTCGTTTGGTTTAATTCATCGAGAACAGATATCGGGAGGGGCGAGGGTGGTTGAGACAGTAGAACATAACAAAGCTATAAATAATAGATGTTGTACAATTAGACATACTTTGTAACCAAGCCATTTGTAATATAGATTACTAAATCCATCTCCTTTTCTAACTACATGAAAATCAATCACACTTATCCACAAACTCATTACTCTAATCACTAAAAAATATTTACACTAATACATAAGAATAGTAGTACCATTAAATTTATCATGACAGATGATTCTTTCACTGATTTAAGTAAGACACAACTTACCGTTTATCATATTGATCCTTGTTAAGAGGTCTTTGTTGTAGTACACTTTCACTATAATGAGTAGACATTTGTTGATCAGTAGTCTCAATGTCAGTAGATTTCCTATAAAGTCTCTCAGAAAAGAGATTTCCTACAATTGGAATTTAAAAAAAGTTTTTTTTAAAAACAACCTTAAACAGAAAAAAGAGAATTGTTTACAGTCTAGTTAAACACATATAACACCAAGTATAACCCATAGACAATGAACTAATGTTTACTTAAAGGTAGATATTATTATTATTAGTTACTGTATTAACAACTATTCACTATACAATATGTCTGTTATTTAGAAAAGAATCCTCATTTATTGATACATTTCTCCTTAAATTTTCTAATCACATGTAGCATGCGCGCATAGATAATTTCAGTGAATCCATCCATCAATTATAAAAAGTAGGCAGTCACAAATATACATACAATCTCTAACCTATTTTAATTACAAATGAAAAGAAAAGCTTTGACGGTATATTATGCCTGTTTCAAATACATATCATCAATTAATTACATAAAAGAATATAGAAAACAGCAGACTATGATACACTTGAAAAACTCAGTCAATCAACACAGAATTATACCACTAGATAGGTAGAAATATAAGCTATACCCTAGTTTGTGTAGAAAGACATATGTTCATATAATTAGGCTGTTGGCATTAGACTGAATTGGCTGGTTTTTGTTAAAAAGCTGATTGGGAGCTGGCGAACAACAAACTCGAGAAAACCAGGCAGGTTTTAGACGTAGCTGGACGACGAAGGTGTATCGATCAGATTTTTATCCTACGACATGTTGTGGAACAACACAGGTATACAAGCCGCCCAATGGCCGACACTGGCTACATTTCTTGACCTAAATGTAACATTTGACTATGTAGACCATGAGGTGTTGTAGCAGTGCCAGGCTGTGAAAAGAGTACTGAGTAATTACATAACGTTAGTCAAAGCTCTCTGCTCGAACTCCTGCAGCTATGTAAAGGCTGCTGACAAATCAAGCTGTATTACATTAGATTTGAGCATTGTTCACATGTTTGCATCATACTCCACTTACTAGTATTGATACTGGGTGGTGGGATGACTGAATGCGAAATGAAAATATGAACCGCAATCAATATCAACATAGGACCAGGCATTACTGCGTAACGGTTCGAGTTGTCACACCTCATATCAGCACATCAAGTAAAAAGGTAGTAAGGAGAAGGATGAAGAAAAGAGAATGCAGTCAAAAGAAATATAAAGTACGAGAAAAAAGAAAGCAGGAATGACAAAATGGTGAGATTCGGTATAGCGTCGTTAAGATGGGGATAATGTGTGTATACATCTGCGCCACTGACAGCGGCCGGATTCGAACCATCGACTTTCTGGTTCGATGCTCTACCAACTGAGGTACAAGGTCCAACTGTTGACCAGATTTTTATTTCACTTCAATCACCAAGCGTTCTACCTGACTACCATGTGAATTCGTGATGCGTTACTATGGCTCGGGCCGGAAACCCGGTGGTCACTGGTTTGAATCCGGTCTCTATCCAAATTTTCATTTCCCCTTCAATAACTACCCAGTATACAAACGCCACTCTGCCAAACCATGGCTATCTCACTCAGATAATCAAAATGATAATCAACTCGATGCTCTCTCTCCCCCCTAATTCGCTTACATTTGGATTGGGATGCGAAATCCAGACTGGGCTGGTAGCCACAGTTAGTACAATCAAATGATAGTAACGCTTCACTAATTCACATAGTAGTCGTCGAGCGAAACGCTTGATGATTGAAGTAAAATAAAAACCTAATCAGCAGTCGGACATCGTAGCTGAGTTGATAGAGTACAGTACTGGAGACCCAGTGGTTGCTGGTTTGAATCTGGGTGCTGTCCAAATTTTCATTTCACTTTCAATCATCACTTATTATCAATACCAGTCTGCCAAACGACGGCTGTCTCAAAAAGTAAAAAAAACTGTTTGAAGTTTATGACAAGTTTCTTTTTAAGAAGGTTGTATTCATCACGGAATTGGTGTTAATTGGAGAACCACTGGAAACCTATGAGCACTAAACAGCAGTTTCGCCCTAGAATAAGACGTGAGTAAATACTGTTGAAGAATCCCACATTAGGACGAAACAGTAGTCCAGTGCTGCCAGGTTCTCCAATTGATATCAAATTGTTATACTAACTTTAAAAAAATTTGCGAATAATTTTAATCATTTACATTTTTACGACATCATTATCACATATTACCATCCCGTTTTTAATGTTCTTATTATCAGTATGATTAATATGGTATTATTATTATTATTATTATTATTATTATTATTATTATTATTATTATTATTATTATTATTATTAGTGTACCAGTGGTACAGTTTGGGAAACCATCTATAATTCCTTTGACAGAAAATAAATAAATCGGATATTTTAATGAATTGCCTGTGTTTTTTTATTCAGCAGAGTAACTTTACAATGAAACAGAAAGATGAACGGTGTGATAAGGTAGTAGTCAAAACTTTGAATTTAAACTATGCTTTCAGGTACTCAGATTCTTTTTACTCATATCAGTTTGCATAATTCGCAGTAGAATGTTAGTCCCCATGATTTACAAATCAGTAACGAAAATTTTAAAAACTACATCAAGTGAATTTTCAAACACATGTATTTATCCATAACAAATGAACACTAGTTTTACACAAATATATACCTTGTACAGAATATGTACATCACTCCACTTAAGGTTATTTACTCGAACACCCATGGGCGTTTTAGAGCCAACGGTGAGTTGTCAGATAAGCTGAGTACATAGACCGGTGTCCGTCAAGGATGTAAACTCTCTCCATTCTTATTCACTTTTATCATAGACATACTTATGGACGTCTCCCTCTCTCCCTTTACAGAGATTGGTCTTTTCACAGGAAAATGCATGGTAGATCAGGAATAGACAGATGAGATACTCCTGTTATGTGAGAATGCCGACAAGCTGCAGTCGTTCTGGATACCTTGAGTGGCAATTTGAGAATGCTTGGGATGCGTTCCTTACCACCCAAATGCAAGTTATTGCTCCACAACTGGTCTTCTGAGGTACCCCGACTAACAATGAGGAGTGAAGTGGTTGAGTGCGCTAAACACTTCACTTACCTAGGAAGTCGCATCAACCCTAGTGGATTAGTAGGTGGTCGAAGAAATCTCTGCATGCATACAAAAGACTGAATTGACTTTCGCCAAATTACGCCATCTGTGAGACCACCGCGATATCCGATTACCTATTGAGGGCTGAATGTACTGTGCTGTAGTCTGCTCTGTCTCACTGTACGGTTGTGAAACATGGGCATCAAAGGTAGAAGAAATGAGAAGGCTTCAGATATTTGACCATTGTTGCCTCCGTAGTATACTCCATATTTCGTGATGTTACCATGTGACTAACTCAGAAGTGTAGTTTTACGGAAGAGAGGAAGGTTAGTTGATGCAGTTGCGAATCTTCATCTACTCAGCTGCGACATGTGTTACCCATGCCTAGTCACTGCCTACCCCGTCACATAATGTTGGCTGAAGTATGTTAAAGCTGGAAAAAAAGGCTCTGAATGGCCAGACTAAGACATGGCATGAATGCATGAATTCCTTCACTGTTGGTTTGAGCCATGTAAGGCAATACAGACTAGCTAGTTGAGGTCCACACGACAAAAGAAACCAATAGTTGTTGGAGACTCTAGATGATATGGTTCAGAATCGACATCAGTGCCGTAGATATATCCATAAATCATATTTATCTCGATCGCTATACTGAATTCAGCATTTTCTCATTCCTCCTTCCTCTCTTTTACTCCTTTCCACTGCTTTTGACCGGTTTTACTCGCTCTATTCATCTCTCATCTTATTGCGTTGTTGCTTGATGTGCTGATATGAGTTGTGGCAACTTAGACCTTTGCGCAGTAATAATGCCTGGTCCTATTTTGATATTGACTGATTTATTAATCGATTGGTATTCATACCAGGTTAGAAGAATACCTCAAACTGTTAGAGGGCAGTCAGTAAATCACACAGAATCAATTCCTTTAGTCACTGATAATAAAAAGTACACAATAAACACACTTTAAGATTAACTTACCATCAGTATCCTCGTTTTCTCGAAACACATTGCTTTCAGGCAGTACAGATGAATTAGTATTGGATTCGTTGATACTTGAGTCTAGATTGATAATATCACCGTTTTTGTAATGATGTTTGACAGCTGATACACAAGAGTGACGTTTATCACAACTACTTAAGGATTTATTAGTTGTTTCAGAAAGTCCACTGCTAACATTTAGTAGCATTGACTTGTTATCACACGATGTCCCCACGACATTTAAATTTGGATATTGTACACCAGTACTGTCTATACTTGGTAAACACTCTGATTGACTTGGTAAATTGGATTTTAAAATAACAGGAGATCCAGGCTTTCCACAAGATGATGATGATGCTGCAGGTACGAACTCTGTGATTGTAGATTTGTCGTTTTGATGACAATGAGGATGACAAACATTATGTGAATGTTGATTAGTATGAATAAGTGAATGATGATGGTGATGGTGGTGATGATGATGATGATGGTGTTTCGGATCTAAAAGTGTTAAACACTGAGGATTCGTAGTAGTAGACTGACAAGGTATTGCATTATAATTCGACGAATCGTTATCATACAAGCCTGTATTCCATTCAGCGTTATCTACTTGGATCTTTCTTTGCTCCTAGGATAAGTGCAGAAAATCAAAAGGAATTTAGAAAAATATTTACTGTCTTAATGAACAATCATAATATAGTAGTATGGTTATCAAAAATATGACTTGGTACACTATATATCCATTGAGAAAACGTTGTATCGACTTCACTTAATTGACAAAATGCCCATTTATCAAAGCGAAAGGAAATTTATTCAATGTTGACACCAGATAACTGAATACAGTAGTAGCTAATTATCAATTAGAGGTTGAGTATACTGCGCTACAGTTCACTCTATCCTACTACACGATTGAGATATCGCCCTTGAAAGTATACGAGGAAGTAATTCCCAATCTTCATTCTTCGGAGGTTACGGAAAGCTTTGAAGTTGCATCAAAACCGCTTTTCATTTACCTGAAAATGAAACTGGTGAAGTCCCGGACTTGCAAGCATTGTTTGAATGCCAGCCACAGAAGAAAAAAATGAACGCTCTTAAAAGCGAACCCACAGAAGAAGTCAAGTCAATGGTTGAAGCACTGAAAAATTAAGGCAACCAGTGCATGAAACAAGAGAAGTTTGAGGAGGCTGTAGCTTGCTACAGTAAAGCCATCGAACTGTCACCGCATAACGCTGTCTTTTACTGCAACAGAGCTGCTGTTCATTCTAGGTTAGATCATCATCAGGATACTACTAGTGATTCACACAACAAAAAAGCATATAGTCGAATGGGAATCGCGTATTCAAACATCGGTGACCATACCAAAGCTGTCAAATGTTATCGGAAAGGTTTAGAACTGGATCCAATTAGTGAGAATTGTCAACAGAACTTATCCGCTGCGGCGGAAAAGTTGAAGAATGCACCTAATAGTTTTCAAAACACAAGGCTTATTCAGTGATTTTGTTCTAAATTCTATCTTGAATAATCCAATGATGCTAAATATGGCTTGTCTACGCAACATTAATGATGGGATGCCCAGGTGCGTAAACATCGAAGTTAGAAGTAGGGTAAAAAGCAAGAAAGGCAAGTCAGTAGATGAGATTGTGAACCGGTCACTTGGACATATGTTGCGCATATCTACCTAACGCCTACCTCAACAACCAGATTAGAAGAAAACTAAGAGTGATCGCACCAACACGTGGCACACGTTCATGAAGTCTTCCATTGTTGGTTTGACTCGTGTATACAGAGGTGTAGACTATCTGGTTAAGGTCCCTACCGACTTGCTTTTTGCGTATTGCTGTGATGTGTGGGACAACTTGAAGTGATCCACTGTTTTATGAAGTTCTAAGTTGATTCTATCTTTTTATCTGTCTGTATGCAGAGTTTCGCATAGATTTGTGAAAATTAAACTAATGAAATGCATACAGTGCTACAAAAAAGGTAAGATGCAGAAACTTGTAGTTATCATAGAAATATAAACACTATCATTGAATCTAATAATTTCGTATTAGGCTTCACAACCACATAGGTTGTCTCAATGGATCTTTTTTCGAGACTAGTAGTATTATATTCACTTACAGAAGACCTGTTTGGCATTTTCCAACTTTCGTCATCTCTGATGACATAACTGACTATCTACCAAAAGACGAGTATACTACACTGCTATCCGTTCTATCTTGTTATATAACTGTGAAAAATGGTTGTTAAAAGCAGGATACATGAAGCGGTCAAAGGCTTTTGATCATAGATGCCTTGGTAGCATTGCTTGCATTTAGTAAAATCATCGTGTGAGTAATGTCGAGGTCATGTGAAGGGTACTAAGCAAGACAGGCAAATCGACTGATGAAGTTTTGAAACTTAGCAGACTGAAGTGGCTTGCACATGTACTGCACACGCCAAGCTATTATCTACCTCGACCGTATCACGTTAAGGGAAGTTGGATTGGGTTAAAAGTGGGCTCAGTGTAGCCAGACCGAAAAGTGGCACCAACCAATGAAGTCTGTGATTGTTGGTCTAAGTTATATTGGGAGATGTAGGAGTCAGTGACTGAAGAATCTTGACGATATGACTGAAAACCGATCACAATGGTGCCGATGTATTCACACCTCGTCATCTTCTAAAACTTGAATATTTCCACTAACCGTTATCTTCAGATTGTTTATTCTCTCACACAACTTTGTCTACTTTGATATCAGTCTTTTCCTATCCGCCTTTTCTTTGTATACTACTGTGAAGTGTGAGGATTCGAGTCAATGCACTTGTGTGCGAGGTTCTACGTTGATTCTGTCTGTCTGTCTACATTCACTTCTATTCTCATGAATGTAGATAAATCCTGAAAGAATACATGTACGCCACTTCCGCTTAGAAATATAACAAGTGAACAAAGAAAATACATCTATCCGAGTAAAATAATACTTACACATATCTGAGAATGAGCGATATCGAAAGATCCAGTAGATTTCTCCTGAATAGAATTTTGACAAGGAACATGTAAAATTAACTCAGATTGAGGAGAATTATGAGGAATATTCGACAGATGATTAATTGATGTAGGATGATGATGTCGAACATAATGATGATGATGAAGATGCTGATGAATGGGTAATACATTATTGATTGTTGTATCATGTATTTGATTTGGAGAGGGATGAGAAGGATGATGATGATGGTGTGTAAAATGAACATGGTGATGATGCGGTATTACATGAGTTGTGGATGACGATGATGTTGGTGAGGGACTAGAATTATTAACCAATTTTTGCCCTTGAATAGATGGATCAGCGGAATTATCATGAGAACAACAATTATCAGAGGATAATGAAGGATTTCGACTGCTATTGGACACTTCAACCATCCGACTGTTTTCATCTGTATCAGACATATTCATGACAGGAGATATAGACTTTGTGCCTTTGAATGAACGTGAAATCATTTTACTTGTATACAGACTTGAATAAGTCATTGAGTTGATATCTATTGGGATAGAAGACTGAGCTACAGCTTTTTTAAAACAAACTGATGCATTTTGACCGGTTAAATCGCTAATTTGGTCACATTCACTAAATAATCAAAAGAAATAACATTGTAAAATCTTCTGAATAATGAATACATATTTATTATCATTCAAGTGATGATCATACACTGTGCAAGAAAGACAATAAGTAAAGTTATAGATATACACATTGGTTCATCCTAATAGACATTTCATTCCGTACATGGCAATAAAACACAACAATTAAAGTTGTATACTGCGTTATGATTGAAATTAAAATGAAAATTTAGACCATGACAGGATTTGAACCATCAGCCACCGGGTTTCTGGCCCGATGCTCTACCAACTGAGTTAGCTATGAGTCCCGACTACTGACCAGATTTTTATTTCACTTCACCATGCATTTTGCCCAAAGACTACCATTCCCTTGTAGTTTAAAAATTTACCCCCGCGTTAAGTAATTCAACAAAAGACGTTTAGTGAAGAGTCACTCTTCTCGATGGGATCACTTCTCAAGCTGTACCATCGCTTATGAATATCCTATTCACCTGGAGTAACAGAAAAGGAATATTTCATGAAGTATTTCTGAACGAAGATCAGATTTGGTTATAAGTTAAGAGATTAGAAAAGAATGAATTGCGTAATGCTTGTAATAGTAACGAGAAGAAGACTTATCAAGACCGAACTAATATTTGACTATCATGTAATATGGTGAATGTAAACAAAAATCATAACTATAGGAGTGGAGGAATGTAATATATGAGACGAATTTAAATGAAAAGATTTTTGAAGGTAAAAGGTCATATCAATTGCTACTCAATTAATTGGACAAATTCCTTTTGAATACAGAGTTCAGGCTTTAAAATATTAATTGCCATGGTTTCCACAGTTTGAAGAAGTTTTAGGTGTACACCTTTCACGAGCTCTGCATGAATTCTAAAGATGATACTGAAGTTGTTTTCTTCATTTACCCGGTGGTTATAAACGAGCAAATGTTCTAAAATAGAGTTAAGAAGTGTTCTCCTTTCTTATTTGTGGAACCAGGCTGGTATATGTTCGGAAACGTGTTTGGAAAGACAACGGTGATTATGGTCAATATACCTTAACTTCACAGAAGCAGGTAAATCGATAAACATACATCAAGATAGCGTCAAGGGATCTAGTTTATCCTTTACGCATAATCGAAGCACTGAGTAAGTAGAAAAAGTTATTCTGAGTTTGGCAGTACAGAAAGTCTTTCTCAATGAGCATACCAAACGGTCTCTAGATATATCTGGTGAAACGCTAAGGATACTGGTTTTCAATCAAAACATTTTTTTGAAAACTTTATCTACCAAAGTATCAGGATTGCAGCTAGTGTATGAGTAGAACATTTATATACGATTGTACAGCTTGAGAAGTAAACTTGTCTTGGTAGCATTCATAGTGTGTGTTGATCAAACCAACAAGGAGATATAATATTAACGTAGAATCAAGTATAATCAAGAATTCGTTCAAGATAACAAGATGAAGGACAAATGAATGAAGATGTTGCTAACAGTTCATAAAACTAACACAGTAACGGAAAAAAATTATTTTGATATCACTATTTAAATGGCCATTTCGAATCAAAAATGCATAAATTTCTTCTGCATAACTCAAACCAACTGTCAGAGACGTCAACTTTTTGTTTATTCAACTACTACGAATATAGAATGTAGAGCCTTATTCGTTGGTTGGATTCCCCCTAAGGATTTCTTTACTTTCTTGAATACTTAAACAGAGATCAGTTGGAGAGGATTATATCTGATTCTCATGAACCATCTTAACATTCCAGTCAGTCTAATCCATAAACATGTGTGATCCACTTTAAATGCCTCTGAAACAAGATGATCAGAGCCTTTTGTTTTTCATCGTTTCAAATGACTTACAGACTTTCCAGCTTTTGCAAACGTTAGAGAGTCGGTTTCAGGATCGATTGGATAGTAAGTAACTGGAAAAGTAGCCAAAGGGTCTACTGTACTATTCTTCAAAGTGTTCCATCTATCTATCCAGTCGTCTCTCCTGTGAGTGAATTGCAAATCCACCTAGCTCTACTATAATCTCACCAATCCTCGTTTGTCTTTATCCTAGTTTACTTGATAAGTCTAAACAGATGTCTACTATTACTTATCACTACTACTTTTTTTTTAACCCTCCAGCCTTCACTTCACTGGTTATGGTTATTAAGCACTTCCTTTATCAGTGTACACTTGATGAAAGCTTATAGTCAGATATTTCACCGATACCAGAGTAAGGTTAAGTCAGTAAACGCCTTAAGAACATTTTACACCCGTATCAAGATTTCATTGTCAACTGACTGATCAGAACTCCCAACTGATGAGTGAAAAGATTAACTTTCTCAATGATTTTATACCCTGTTGTCGTCAGATGAATTATTGACATATATCAGTTATGAAGCAGAAACTTACATTTTCTCAATTGATATATCAGTTCAATCAGTTAAATCCAACACATCTAAAAGACACTGCTTCTTATTAATGTCTTCAACAAAACAAAACTATTACTGTGATTCAACTATAAACCTAAGCGAAGAGAGGGTGACAAAGATGTATAAAAATAGGAAAAGTGGATATTTATTAAAGACACCAGTTGGAGTAGACACTTTATTGAATAATTCACCATAGACCACAAGTGTTCCAACCTCATTCCTCTCTACATAAAGGTTTGGATAGACCAGGGGATATCATATACCCTAGTAAAACATGTGTGGTTAGTTGTTGAATGCATGAGTATGCATACAATTTAAGTTTCAATTCAGACTCTTTACGAGGATGAGTTAATTGACAGACTTCTTCCCCCCTTTTATGCAAGTAAATGTCACCTCCTGATTGAAGAACATAACCATCGTTAGGTACTCATGTTCAGTAAGTATCTCATAGCAGCTCAAGTCCTAGCCAATAAACCCAAGGTCAGAATTGAAACCTACATGATTTCTTAGTGTCAAGAAATTCTATTCAAACATACGTGAAAATGAACATATAAAATTTAAGAAAAAAAACAATGGTGAATATCAAAGAACTAACCTGAGAAGATTATGATAATGCGCTACTAATGGTTCAAAAACTGGCAATTCTCCAAATCCAAGTGAATCAGTAATACGATATACAGGTAAACTGAATGTATGCATATAAAACCATTTTTCACCCAATTTTATTCGGTATATAGAAGATTCCAATAAATAACGTTTAAGTGAATTTTCATAAGAAACTGAAACACTATCGCCAGCATTACTACTACTACTACAACCACCTGTGGTTGATACAACATTCTCATCTTCTGGATGTAATAAGGCATTTCTAGCACGGCACCATCGTGATGCTTCACTCAATGCTAAAGAAATAAAAAGTTTGGATAAAATCAAAATTTGGACAGTTAAAAAGATAAGAAAATCTGTGAAAACAGTTTTCATCACTACTGATTGATCCTAAAAGGAGAACCAGTGAAAACCTGAGGGCACTGGACAGCAGTATGCATCCGCGACTTTGCTAGGGGGTTGAACTCAGGAACTTCAGGTTCCCTGACGAATACGTTAACCATTCACTTACTAGGTCAAAGTTCAATGATCCCCAGTTTGTCAACAGAGCATGAATATTTGATTTATTGTAAGTGAGAATGTTCAAGAATAACGTTTTCCGTGGACTGAAGTTGCTAATAGTTCGTGATGAACACTACCTCAAACATAAATTGCCCATTAGCCTCAAACTACACTACTACATAGTGCTCATTACTGACATGCTTCTAGATGGATATGTTGAGGTTGTAATGAGAAACCGTGACCTCTAGGGTCAACCATTCGGAAGTGAAGTGGATCCCAAAAGAAGGAAGAAGACACTGGTGGATAATTATGTTATATCACGAATTGGCAGAAGTAAGAAAACTGTGGACCACTGAACTCCAACCCAGCGGCTCAACGGTAACGTGCTGGTCACAGAACCTGAAAATCCCTAGCTGGGTCGTGGGTAAGTACTGCTGAGGAATCTCATACCTGGACGAGACACTTGTCCAGTGATCCAAGGTTTTAAATTATCCTCCAAATGATGTCAGTCCGTGATCAATACTACCATATAAATATATATGAGCGGTTATGCAAAACGCTTCGGCAACAATGACAACAAATACGATGAAGAATTTTATGCAGTAAAACAGTTTAAAGATTCCAATCCACAAGAAAGACTAAACGTAAATAATGAGAGATTGAAATTGATACTGGGTGATGATTGAAGGTGAAATGAAAATTTGGACAGCACCCAGATTCAAACCAGCAACCATCGGGTCTCCAGTACTGTACTCTATCAACTCAGCTACGATGTCCGACTGCTGATTAGGTTTTTATTTTACTTCAATCATCAAGCGTTTCGCTCGACGACTACTATGTGAATTAGTGAAGCGTTACTATTATTTGATTGTACTAACTGTGGCTACCAGCCCAGTCTGGATTTCTCATCTCAATCCAAATGTAAGCGAATTAGGGGGGAGAGAGAGCATCGAGTTGATTATCATTTTGATTATCTGGGTGAGATAGCCGTAGTTTGGCAGACCTGTATTGATACTGGGTGACTGAAATAACAATGATGGTGGTTATAATAATAATAATAATGTTGCTAGTTGATGACATGAAGGTTGAATGATTACAATAAGAAGTTGCGTAAGAGTTTTTAAATAGTTTTTAAGGCGTACATAGATTAGAAAAGAGATAAAAACATGGTAAAATTAATAAACAATCAAATGATTGATTAGGTAATATGGATGAGACAAGTAAATTGAGATAAATTGAAGACGTTTCGTCAAAAGTTGCAATCATTGGGGAAGATTAAATGTAGCAACCCCGGAAACTATTAAATGCTAAAATAACACTACTGATACTACTTACATAAGAGTATAATGATTAATCTATCTAACAAAAGGAGAAGTCGGGAAAGAAACGAAACGGACCAAGACCAAATTAAGGCCAAGGTAGAGACTAAGACTGTACATACTTGTTTTGCTAAGGTCAGGCTTCGGTTCACTTACAGCCAAGGCCTCTAGTGTTTTGACAAGTTGAAGACGGAGAAAACATGAGATGTTTTAGTGTATTCGATAATTAACCTTAAAATCATTCACCGCTCAGGTCGGTTGAATGGATGGAATCGATTATTTCTTCACAGATAGAATTTCTCTTCTGCAATGCATTTCCTTTCTCACCTTTATAAAACCAGACACGATTATAATGAAAGCAATCTCTGGCTACGCCCAATATACTTTTCTCTACAGAAGCAGGTGAACTGGTAGATACACATCAGTTGGATCGATTAGCTGATTCATAGTAACTTTGAAAATTATTTCAAGAACAACATAACTAACCTATGTATAGCAGCAGAAAAACAAGCATAGAACTTTCTCAGTTAACATATATCGCCAATCAAAAATAATCTTTAAGAAATGGAAGCCATAGACTATACTATATTATATACTATTCTCTCTCTCTCTCTCTCTCTCTACATATATATATATATATATATATATATATATATATATATATATAAACACAGAAGACTTGGATTTCGCCGATGACTTGTGTCTAATGTCACACAAACTCGAAGATCTACAGGCGAAATCCAACAAGTTGACAGAAGAGGCAGGGTAGCGAGGACGGGACTTCAAGTGAATGTAGAGAAGACAAAGGTGATGAAGATATCCAACTAACAACAGCATAATCAACAAGCACCAACCATCATCAATGGGAGAAACTTAAAGGAAGTAGTCTCTTTCACCTACCACCTAGGCAGCATTGTTTCAACTACAGGCGGTACAGACGAGGACGTCAAAGCCAGGATCGCAAAGACAGCAAGACAGGTGTTTATTAACCTGAAACCAGTGTGGAGATCTATTGCACTCAGCACAAAGAACAAGATCCGGATTTTCAACAGTAATTCGGTCAAGTCAGTACTTCTATATGGTTCACAAACTTGGCGCATCACGAAAAGCATTTCCAACAAACTACAGATATTCATCAACAACTGTCTACGCGGGCTCGTTACTGAAGCTCAGATGGTCAGAATAATGAGAATAAGCAACAAGAAACTCTGGGAACGAACCAACCAAGAACCTATCGCTCAACAAATATGCAGAAGGAATAGGAGATCTATTGAGCATACACTGAGAAGACCATTTGGTGACATCACGCGTCGGGCCAGGTCCTCGAGTGGAACCCCGATGGGAAACGATGAGTTGGGCGTCTGAGGGTGACATGGAGGAGATCGTGCGAGGAGGAAATGAGAGCTTTTGGGCTGTCGTGGAGCCAGGTTGAAAAGACTTCAGAGAACACAGTGGAATGGAGACGTGCTACTGAAGCCCTATGTTCCACTAGGAAACCAAGGGACAAATAATAATCATAAACTAATAGTTGGTAAACCGTTATTTATAAACAAATGAAAAACTATAACGTCGAGTGAACCTATCCGAAAGGTATACATACACCATAGTGTACTTTGCAAAAAGGTTTCACATATGGAACTAAACTGTTTTTGCTAGGATATCTGAAAGTTTTATGATCAGCCTCATTGGTTTCTAAGATTCAATGATTACTTCATGAATATCAGATTGTGAATGAAAACAAATGAAGAGGTAGTCATTGAATTGTAACTCAACAATTCTGTACACGTTTGTATACTTGCAGTTAGTATAAAATTCAATAATTCATAATGTAATAGGTATCAACTCGAATGTTGAAATCAATGAATCGTCATAAATGCGCATAAATGTTAAAGTATGCCGAGAACAACTAAATTTCAGATTTAGTTAGTTTTAAAAACATGATAACAAAATCGAAATATTCACTGACACACCTGTGGTTGAGATATATGTGTTACGTATGCCCAGTCTTGAAAAAAAAAGGTTAGACGAGGCTAGACTAAATTATGGCATCAGTTCATGAAGTCAGTGGATATCAGTTTGAAATGCATAGAGAAATGTAGTTTCCGTATGACAAGTGAAATCGCTGGTTAAGGAGTCTGCTCTAAGGTAATATGGCTCCAAGTAATATGCACACATCGTCTTCATTTTAGTCATCATATGAAATTTCGGTATCGTCTTATTCTTTCTTTCTCTATTTGATTATAACTTCTTACCACTTTGATGAATCTTTCTTATCTCTCCATCTTTCATTTTACTGACTTCTCACTTGATGATACAATATGACGTGTCACAACCTGAATTGTTATGCAGTAATGTTGGTATTGACCGACTGACTATCTCACTCTGCAACTCAATCACTGACTATATAATCAAGAAAGTCACTCAGTAAACTGATAGAGAATAACGATCCCATATGATAATGATATGGTTCTAACCGATACCGATAACGTCCACATCCCTACATCTTGCTTGCTTACAGCGATCATATTTTTAAAAAGTATCTTCCATCATCTACTCTTTTAAAGAAAAAGTTAAAATATAAACAAAACTAATTTCATGATCCAATAATCACTTACTTTTCGATGAATATTTCTCCCAAACTGCTAAATCAATATCCAGAACATTATCACTCCAAGTGTTACAACACGTTTGAAAGTCTTCATCATTCATGCGTAAATCATGTTGAGTTAGTAAATGCCTAGATAGAGAAAAATCAAGATATGAGTATTCATCATCATCACTGTGAAACTAAGTACTCGAATTTCTTTGATAGGGCTCAACTTAACCAGACAAAAGATAGACTGGATTGTTAGCAAAAACAGGCACTGAGTTTTAATGGAACCTTTAGTCTCTGAGCACACAGCAAGTCACCACTTCCTCGATATGCCATGCTCGAAAAAGTTGGATTCGGTTGGAAGAGGGTTCAGGGTGACCAGACCAAGATGTGTCACCAGTCCATGAAGTCTCTGACTGTTGGTCTGAGTTGTGTAGGGAAATATAGGCTGGTTGGCGTCCCTGAGACGAGAGGAATCAGTAGTTGAGTTGAGGACTGACTCTTGGTAACATGACCTGAACTGGGTCATACTGGTGGTGCAGATGTATTCACTCCTAGACGTCTTCGAAGGCTTGGATATTCGCATTAATTGTCATCTTCAAATTGTTTATTTCCCTCTCACACAACTTTATCTGCTTTGATATCACTCTTTTTCCATCCACTTGTTCTCTTTAAACTAGTGTAAAGTGTAGCAAATTGGATCGGTGCATTGCGTGCGAGGTTCTACGTTGATTTCGTCTGTTTGTCTATTTTCCTCAATGTCACAATCTTGCTGAGTAGATCCTTTACAAAAGCAACTCTTGAAAAACGTTTCACAATGGAGAAATAAACTATTCTTGATGATATGAAACAATACATCCATACACATGTTCGCGTAAGGAATATCACCCTAACCATCCTCAAGCATTTAGCCACACGATTACCACACAACAGTTCGAACAACTGAGCAATACACTTCATATTTATACAATACAAGAGAAAAAAAACTAAATAATGAAACTGAAGTTAAAACGTGTTTTTCTTGGTAAGGCCCAGCTAAACCTATTGTGTGAAGGACTTACGACACTACCCAGATCCTGAATGGAACATTGAGATAGCCACCACCCCCCCTCACCACCACTTACAGAAGTCAAGAAAGCGGTAGATGACTTGAAACGAGGAAGGCCATCAGGTTCAAATGGACTAGTTGCTGAGGTACATAAGGACCATGGTAGAGTGTTGTTAGTCAAGTAAGCTGAAGTGTTAACTAGTGTATGTGAGATGGATATGCTCCCCTCTGAATGGTCTAAATCACTGATTATCTTCCTAATTTCTTTACCTTCTACCTATTTATATTTATCTTTTATATGGATGTGCTGACATTATCGTGTAGCAATTTGGACCGTTAAAGGTCGAAACGCCATGTCGCATGTTGGTACTGATTGATTGATCACTCAGACTGAACCAGATGCGGCCGGATTTGAGCCTAGAACTCACTGTTCAGAAGTGAAATCGTTCAAGCTACAGTACGTTGAATATCCACACCAATATAGAATAGGGTTTACAGAGTAGGAAAATCTGTACACGACTACCAGACCGTATATTCTTTTCTGTTGCTAGTATAAATAATAATTTTAAAAATTACTTAGCAAATCTGGTTATTATGCACACTATTCATGCCTTTAGACCAGATTGATGAATTGAAATTCACAAGTAGATTGATTCCCCCATATACATGCAATACTACCAACCACCCTGCAACCACTTCATGTCTTCCACTCTCAACGGATATGTCTCGAAGCTGTACAACAGGAGAGAATGGACTGTAGTGCAGTACACTCGTCTTCTGATAGATAGTAGGATGTCTCTCCACACGGAACCAGAGATGATGTAAGCTAGCTAATGTTAAACGGGTCTTCTGTATTCGAGCTGATTTTCCCTCAGCAACCAGTCCGTTCGGCAGCTGATGTGACTTCCCAATTAAGTGAAGTGGCCCATGCATTCCACCACTTCACTTCCTATAATAAAACTGGAAGTAATTGCAGACCATTCCTGGATCATCATCTTTTACTTGACAAATGCGAAATGCATGCCAGACATACTCAAATTTCTGTTCAAAAGACCCTGGATTTAGTCAGCGTCCTCGTCTAGCGGGACAATACCGTCTCCATAATGCAAGACAACTATATGCCTTCCCGAGAATAGATCAATCCTTGTTTTCTACCTTATAACTCGGAGATAAGTTTGGCGATAAATAATTCAGTTCGAACTATTTAACGATAATAATAATAATACCAAGAATAATCACAAAACAATTAAAATTACTTTTCGTGATATAATAATTGTCCGCTTCTATTAATCACAGTTACAATCACATCCAACAAGTGTTGATAATAATTCCATGTGTCTTGACCTCTACTTCTTGGTAAAACAACATCCATTGGTAGATTCAGACAAAAGCCGCCATCAGATTTTGTACACACTCGAGGGAAGTCAATTACCAGTTGGTCCGATTTACTGTTGTGATCAGGTGAATTATGTCGTTGGTTTTCGACCAATACAGAAGGAGTAGTGACCACAGGGCTATTACTACTACTAACTGGTGAATTATGTGACTGAGGGGAGATTGAATGAACTGGAGAAGGCTAAAATGTCAGATAAAACAGTTTAAGGGATAGTTATTATTAGGAAATAGGCATCAAGAAATAACTTGTTTGCAGGCAACTGATAAAATACTTTATTTAACCAAGGCTTTCTGCTGATGATGTAATCGCATTCAGTGGAAACAACAAAAACTTTAAAAAGTGTCTACAATCTTCTGATGTGTAATACTAACACAATCCACTCTAAATGATACACAACAGCATAGTCCAGAATAAGGGGCTGTGAAAACAGTGACAAAAATGTCCAGTTCATTGGCTAGTTACCAAATGCATCCCTTCATTAGATCTGGTGGTGTACTACGACTATCGCATAAGGGCTTATGATGATAACTAAACCCATAAGTCACTCTTTCTGGCCACAATAGTCATTCCTCCTTGGGTATAACGTAACAGGGATGTCTCTGATCGATATTTATCAACATAAATCATTCAACAGGCTAATGCTTAATGAAGGCTGTCTGTGATACGATCATATATGGTTATTTCAGTAAACAATTGTTGATCATTCAAAATCAACAACAACAAATGACAGTTTGAGTAAGTAATACTACCAACAACATTCAGAAAAACCAACCACCGAAGCATTTATTCATAAAGCTTTCAGGATATATTGACAACTCATCAACACGAAGCAATATGACTGTTACAAATAGCAGAAGTTGTTAGATAGGGAACGATGGACCGAACAATTTAACCGGTCTCCAGTTACTATTCTCTTGCCCACTAACTAATCGGAGCCTGAATAGAACGTCGAGATAAGGCACCCAACACTTACAAAAGTTGAGAAAGCTGTAGGCAACCCAAAACAAGAAAGAGCAGTAGGGTCATGTGGACTAGTTCCAGAGGTATTTAAGGACGGTAGTTGAGGCGTTTTAGTCATGTTAACTGGTGTATGGCAGTCAGATATGATCCTTTCTGATTGGTCTCAATCACTAATTGCCACAGTCTTCAAGAAAGGCCTGAATTCCTCTTGTGATTACTACAGAGGAATCAGTATAATGAATATTGTGTCCAAGATTCTGCATTCTATAAACGTTAGACATCCGAGTGGATCTCGAAAACGCGAGAAAACCAAGCAGGCTTCAAATCTGACCGTAGATTTATCCACCAGATATCTACCCTCCATCAGGTTCGAGAACACAGGCACACTTACAGACGTCCGACACTAGTTGTATTTCTTGACTTGAAGGCGGCATTTGATTCCGTCGATCGAGGGTCATATGGCAGTGTCCCTAGCTAAAAAGGGTTACCGAGTAATTATATCGACCTATTGAAGTTGATTGAGAAATAATCGTAAATACTAATTTGTCAAAAAAATAGGGAATAATGAGTTGAAAGCTAGATAAAACTGTAAGAACTAGTAGATAACAATATAAACTTACAATACTGCCTTCTCTGCCTGAGTTGGAAGCAACAACAGAGGACTGAGGTGAAATAACAGGAACACAGCTTTTATGGGAAGTCTCATTATCTTCGGATGAGTCTGTATGAAAGTTTAAAAAATACCAAGTGTTATTATAAGACAGACAAACGCAGACAGACGTAGAACCTGGAACAAAACTGCAACAGCAGGATACAAAGAGAATGTAACGGAAAAACGAATGACATGAGAGCTGACACAAGTGGAACCCAAAAGCCAGGTTAACTGAAAACAACAGTACAAACCTAGATGTACACCATATTTTGTAAATTTACGCTTGTATGGAAGTCTACTGATGATCTTTTCTTCCTACTGGTAGGCTCTTGCAGTTGATTTTAAATGCACAGCTGTTCGCTTCCCTCCATACGAAGACTAATGCATAGGCTTCTTTGACGCCACCTAAAGGGTGTTCATAAAGCAGGAGACTACTCATATACGTTATTTCAAAAAGTTGTCTAATTATATAATACTTATTGATTTCAGGTTGATATTCATCACAGACTGACATCAGTTTGAGAAACATTCAAAACCTGAGAACACTCAACAGCTGTTTCGCCCTGGTATAGTACTCCTCATTGGAGCACATCCATGACCCCACCGGAGATCGAACCCATGACCCTCAGGTTCCGCGCCTATTATACTGCATACTTTTATCAGTTTATGATGTACTAAATAATAGTTAATTTTTCACCTTTATGATCGAATTCGGTTCACTTACTCTACAATATCCAAAAGGGCGAATATCTTAGTGAGTAAACTGACGAGTAAAATTATGTGAAATGCTGATATAGTTGACACACTCAACTTATCACACTGAGATATAATCACAACACTAACATATCGGTAGACGCGTGTTTTTCTTTCTCTATTCGAATTCAACAAGTTAACAATCTATAATTTCCTAAATACTAGAACTCAAAACTAATGACATCATAGATGCATTCACTTCTCAATGCTTTGAATATGTTATCACTAGAAACTTCATTTGTCTTCTGATGAATTGCATCTTCTTGTTCATTAATTGTACCTGTATCACAGTAAGACACTGAGGTACCTAAGTGTCTCATTGGTCTAGTAGATAACGACTGAGCGTTTGAAGTGATGAGTACGAGGTTTGAGTTTCCAGGGGCGTATAGCCATATCCGACTGACGAGTCTCAAATAGGACGAAACGAGCATCCTAGATTCTACTGCTAGCCACAATCAAGTCAACTGTAAGATTCCTTTGTTTCATCTACAATAAAAGAGTGACACGATAACATATACTAGATGAGTTTACGAATATCATTTACTGTCTATCGAACAGATTAATTTACTTTTGATAATGTTCCATTTCAGTGTCTTTGGGAAAGGTGTATCCATCTGATGAGCCGGTAAAGTTTTGCGCACAAGTTTATGCAGTGATATTTTTTTTAAAAGAAACTTTACAATATGTCCCCATCTTCAGCGGGGAAAATCTTGCCTGAAGAACGTATAAACATTAACATACGAACATGTTACTGACTGCTTGACCGGGAATATGTTCTATCTCAATGAATTTCACATGACGATTTGAGACTTGGGACACGTTAATCGAGAACCAAAACAATTTTTACGATTAGTTCTTCCCTATCCCTCTCTCTATACCCTAAGTGATAAGCATTCTAAATAACTATAGATTCATGTGTCCTTCGTTTATCTCTGCTTCCATGAAATTTGACTTGAGTTAGTCAATAAAATATCTCGTAAGGTCTCATCTTCCTTAGTTTGCTTGATAGTTCATTTGAAACTAATCACTAAAAATGAATCCATTTTCCTCTGTAGAATCTATTACTATAAAGCTTTTTAACCGTTATGGTTAGGTGTGTAACAGTCTCGAACCACGGTAAGACTAGTACTGATAAAACCTGCAAGTAACGCAGAAGTCAGACGTAGAGTTTTAGGGAGGAGAAGTAACCATCAACTGAGTGGCTGGGACATGTGTTACGAAAGCTAAGTCATCGTCTGCCTCGTCGCACAATGTTAACTGAAAAGGCTTGGGGCGACCAGACTAATCCATAGCATCAGTGCATGAAGCCGCTGCCTATTGGTTTGAGCCATGTACGGCGATGAAGACAAGCCGGTTGGGGTCCATGGAACAAGAGAAAGCAGTGGTTGAAGACTGATTCTAAGTGATATGGCTCAGAACCAATGTCAGTGGCTCAGATACCTACACACATCATGCTCACCATTCTACTGTTTTTGACAGATTTTTTTCCCCTTCTTCATCTTTCATTTTACTGTCTTGTCACTTGATGTGCTGAGATGAGGTGTGGTAACCTGGACCGTCAAACAGTAATGCCTGCTCCTATGTTGATTTTGATGATGACAAAACCACAGAAACCGTATTGGTGGGGGAAAAAACAGGAGACAAACCTTTTAAATCAGATAAATAATATTCATTGCACGTATTGATAGCTGGTGATAAAGGCAACTGACAAACTGGACTAGCTGTGAAATACGGTGACAGTTGGTTGGCGTTAACAGGAGATAAATGACTCTTTGTTGAAACATTGAAACCTTCTCTATGAGCAAAACAACCAGGAACAGAGGATGGTCTAGTACAATGCGACTGAGAAGCAGCAATAGCAGCCATTTTTGCAGGGGAACAGTATAGATTAGCTGAGACAGACGGGAATACATTCACATTTACACTGTGTTGAGATTCATTTGGAGTGATCATAATTATCGGGTTGAATAACGCAACACAATCCACTCTATCTTCTTTAATACCAAAATCAATGGTTGCAGAATTATATACATGTCTGGTCAAAAAGAAATACACAAATAATCATTGAATATGCTAATATGACAACTTGAAAATTATTAAATAGAATCATTCAAAAGTTAACTATAACAGTACTATTATCTGATTTAATCTGTGACAGGAGTCATATTTCGTCAAAGAATATACGATGTAAAATAAGATCCATCTTTAAACCGATCTAGATCTACATAGTTTGAAGCTTTAGTAATACAAAAAGTGGATTTGAAATAATGTGAAAGATTTTTCACCTAGGATGAGAATCACGAACGTTTAGCACTATCATATATCAGAGTTCGAAGAGCACTGAACGATCATCATAAAAAGTGATGCAAAATGCACTGATTAGCAAGAACAGTAGAATGATAAGTGACTCAAACCAACAAAAAAGTGTGGGATTGATTTATTTCTGGATGGTTACAGTTATATGCTTCTAAGTGTTCCAGCTAGTTTTTTTTTACCAAGATGAAAATTGTCACTGCAAACCCGTCCCTTTCCCTCTATTTCTTGAGTTAATCAGGTAGCCATCTATTCAGTTATCAGAGTTATCCTTAGCCACGCATTGCATCAAGGTACACAGGCTATGAACAGATAGAAGATATGAAAGCGAATATAAACAATATGAATGTGTACATTAAGTCGACACATGCAGTCAAAAATACTCACTCTCCTCATATCGTCTATCTCTAACAATCGTATCTCAACCGTAGAGCACTATCATCAATATCAAAATAGAACCAGGTATTACTGCGCAAAGATCTAAGTTGCCACAAGTCATATCAGCACATCATGTAAAAACGCAATAAGATGAGAGATGAATAGAGCGAGCGAAATCGGTCGAGAGCAGTACAAAGAAGGAATGAGAATATGTTGAATTCAGTATAGAGATTGAGATTAGTACGATTAATGGATACATTTACTGCACTCACATCGATTCTGAGCCACATCACCCAGAGTCAGTCTCCAACCACTGGTTTCTATTGCCACGTGGACCCCAACCACCTTGTCTTCATCGTCCTAAATGGCTAAAACCAATAGTCAACGACTTCACGTATTCATACTATGCTTTAGTCTGGTCACCCCGAGTCCTTTTCCAGCCTGAACCTACTTTAGTTAACATTGTACGACGAGGGAGACGGCTGGTAGGCATACGTGACACATGTCTCACCCATTTCAGTCGGCGAAAGTTCACAACCTCACCAACTGACTTACCCATCCTCCCTAAAAATATAAATCTGACGTCTGAGTTACTCACGTAATGACATCATGACACACGGTGTATGCTACGAAGGGAGTGGTCAAACACGTGAAGCCTCATATCTTTTACCTTTAATGCCCATGTTTTACAGCCATACGATGGAATAGAGCGGACTGCAGCACAGTACACTCGATCCTTAGTAAATGACCGGATATCGCGGTGGTGCCACAGATGGCGTAAGTCAGCAAAAGCTAATCGAGCCTTTTGTATGTGCAGAGAGTTCATCGGTCATTGACCAATAGTACTAGGTCTGATCCGACTTCCTATGTAAGTGAAGTGTCCAACGCACTCAACCACTCCACTACCTAGTGTTAATCCAGAAGAAGCTGCTGATATCCACTGGCTCTTTTTAACCACTCTTTGAGAGTCAGTTACGGTTTTCAACGCTGTTTTTTATCGGAGACTGGAGATGGCATCAAGCTTCTTCTGGATGAGTGAAAGTGTTCTTCCTTAATAACTGCTAAGCCAGTTACTCACTGAAAGCGGCCTTAATGCTCTCGTTGTCCAGCTGCACTCGTAATGACCTTGGTGCTTAAGTTTTTCTACATCTATTTAAACGCATACACAAACGCGCTCGAACCAATGAGCGGTCGCTGTTCAAGTACGTACTCCAGGAGCTGCAAAGTTCCACCGACCATCTGCAGTGACAGCACACCAAAAACGTCTATTTGTGTCTACCGCTGAACTGGACTCCTCAGACACCACGCCAGACAACATCTCTTTATGTTTTTAGTTTGTGCTAGCTAGAAATAAATGGCTGTCTGAGCACAGTTATAGCAGACGACCACTGTTATCCGTCCGTTCGGCTGGGATTCTGAAAGTGCCACTGGAGCGTTTTCTACCTGACTCAGCCTACCCACTTGTGTATTGAAATCACTTGCAACAATTAGCACTTCTGAACCCTTGGCTTTTAGCAGGAGGCTTGACAGTTTATGCTTCACTTCATCCGAACTGCAGCCAGTAGGTGCGTTAGTGCAGATTATAAAGAGAACGGTGAGTCTTAATATTCTTTTTCGTCCTCACTGTGCCGTTCAGTCAAACAGCACATAAGCGACTGTCAACTGAGATCCAATTGAGCAGTGCACTTTCGCCTTAGTGCTCAATCCTATACCTACATCTTAAAGAACACAAGAACTGACCATCGAATCTTCAGAAACACGAAGAGTGAATTTTGTGGATTCATAATATTGGCCAGGTGAGTTTAAGTGAATAGCTGCACCTAGGTTCTGTATGAGTGTCTCACAAGCTCAGGACACATCCACGGTTTAGGTTGCTAGAGTGATGGCTGGAGAAGCTTGTTGCTCGACTTGACAGGTGTGTACATCGAAAGCTCCAATGTGTAACCTGAAACGGAGTCTCAACAAACCAGCGATGCTGTTCCGTGAGCTCAGACCGCTCTCTAGAGTTGGAAGGAATTAAAGATGATGTAAGATTATTGACCGAGAGATATGAAAGGAGAGTAGAAGATAAAGACGTGAAAAGTGGACAATGACTTGAAGGAACTCGAATACTGAAAAAGACGTGAGGGCGGTTGAGACTTCCCGGTTGCCTACACCATGGAAAGCTATTTTTTCTTGAGGTGCCTGAAAAAGAAGGGTTAGTGCGTAACCGTAAAGCCAAAAGGACATCTGTCTGAGGCCGGTCACACATGGCCTCTTGCGAGTTTGAGATTTTGATTTTTTGCGATCGAGTTCGTCTATGAACCCGTGCCTCCGACACCAGCATGCCATGATGTAGTGAGAGAGTGCTACTTTTAAGCCAACCTTTTCTAACCCCCCTTCTCATAGGGAAGGTAGTGTCAGTACGGCATTGTTACACTCCCATCCAACCAGCAGTACGACTTCGCCCACAGACCCCCATCATGGCGTAGCATATTACATTACAGTGGTAACTGTTATTTTGTCCAACCATTGTTCAGCAGACCTTACTGACATGGTAGGACCTTGAGGGAGCAAGCGTTCTACCAGCGTAGCTAGTTGGGTCATTGCGATATACAAGTTCGACCAACACGTCAAGCTAGCAGCTATTGCCCAGTCCTCGGCCGCAGAGCAGAACATAGTTATATCCGCTGCCCAGTCCACTTGTCCTTTGATATGCAGTTGGATATATTGCCTCAGTTACGGCAGCCGTAAGAATGAACTTTCTACAGGTTTAGGCAGAAATATAGTCCCACACCGTATCGGTAGAGAAAAGTTTTTCACCGAGGCATCCATATATACCGCAACAGAAAAGAACTTTAATAGCTCAGCGTAAAATCCAATTACTTTATTAAGTCAGTGAAAAAAACAGGAATTACGTCAACGTGGTTCATGCATGATACGTGTAAGGTAAAAGTGAATTGTCAATTGTTAAATATCCCCATTCACTATTTTACCCACCGAAACGATTCCACCTGGTGAGCCGAGTCGGTATATGCTGTCCTAATAACCACATTACATGAAATTTCCATTCAGCGGTCTTTAGATTGAATCGAAGACTATATGACTTCCGGTGCACACAGTCCGCGCAGCATCCATTCGACAGTAGATATAGTCGTTTTGAAGACCTCTTCAAAATTGATTTCCTTAGCATGATGAAGAAAAAATTCAACTTTGCAGCGAAAACTTTGTCCAACAGAATAGGATACATACTACCACAGAACCTACGTGAATGCACATCTGACGAAACAATCAAATCGCTGAATTAAAATGTTGGTGATCATTCATCTCAGTTTAAAAATGCTTACAATGCATGAAGTTGATAGAGGTACTATTTGATGATCAATGCAAATCGTTGATCCAAATCTACTTAGTCGCTTGGAACAAAACACTAAATTGACTCTGGACAAGATACTAAACGAATACCAACGTTTACTAAGTCTTCAACATGATATCACTTCAATTCAATCTGATGATCCTAACATGCCGTCTGCCAGTCATTATTGCGAGAACAAACGGGAACAAGTAGCGATTACGAGTCCAAGAGTTGAGGATATTCAGCCCAAGTGATTCAGATAGCTAAGTTAGAAGACCATTATTCAATTGAGTTTACAGCATCTCGAACCGAAGAAATGAATCAGTAAAGGTTAGCAAAATATATAGAGAATTAAAATGGTGTTGAACGATAAGAGGTATTTAGTACATTAAAAGTAATAGGAGCGACCGAGAGCAGTAGCGAGTCATCCGAAATGTAACCTTCACGGAACAAGGTACGAATGGAAATAATTCAAAAGCGCAATAAGTAAGAGAAACAAGGGATATGTTCATCCCTCTTTGGGAAGGACTCAGCAATAGCGCATTTTTTGAGCTGGCCAATTGCGGCGATTCGCCCGTCACAGGACTAGTTCTATGTTTCCCATGAAGGTCAGGTTTGACGTCTGTAATCTTTTAAATGATCTCCGTGGTTTGAATCAAAACCATTGAATGTTTAGTTGGTCATAACTTTCGTCCAAAATTATTTATTGCTCGATGATGCATTTATTCACTGGTCTGTCACTTCACCTAATAATGCTTTGCTAACTGGTTAGGGTCATTCAAACCCAGACAGTAGGTGTAACTCAAGGTCCTGTAACTCAAAAACTAATATGTTCCAACGAATAATGTTTAATACGACGCAGTAAACAGCTAACGATAATAGTGCCAACTCAACAACTGGTCACTAATTAATTCAACACCTGAATAACGCGCTAGAAGGGTGTGTTAAACTAAAGGCGAATAGACCAATAAAGGGCACCAGTCAATGAAACCATTGACTATCCGTCTGGT